GATCAATCAAATGTATAGGAGGTATGTTAACCCCATTTTTAAAAGGGTACCGGAGTTGTCACCATAGGAAATAGGCTTATTTGACCCTTTTCTCTAGAAGAAATAAGGATGTGCTAAGCACTTTTAAGCATTAATAAGCAATTATTCTTACTTCACATAATTAAACTAATGAATCAATATTCAATTAACCCGTCTATACTTCTTCAACTGATGCTTCTCAAACACTAGTATAGAAAAGTCTTGTATTAGTATTAGTAGGGAAGCATCAGAGAAGATGCAAGTAAAAAGTCACAAGATGACACCAATATATGACCACCCTTATGATGACTGCAGTGGGATAAATACAATATTAATTGGAATATAGAGTACTAACGGCATGTAAAAAGTTAGGCTAAAACACAATGGAAGATCAATTATGATGAGAAAAGTAAGTAAAACACGTATGTAGTAGAAAAGTGCAAAATACAAATGGCAAGGCACCAACTTCTCCAAATTCTCAAAATCCAAAGACATGCCCAGACATACTGTACAATTTGACTACCACACATAGTGTTGGACTCAGTGCGGGCCACCCGGCCCGGGAACCGGCCCAACCCGGCCCGGTGCTGTGTGGGCCCGTCCCGGCCCGGGAACCGATTCCGGGTCTAGGTCCGGTTTAAGGATAAAACCGGGGCGGTTCCGGGATTGATTAAATGTGAACCAGCCCGGTTGGGCCCGGTTCGGGCCTATTTATTCATGGGAAAACTGTCAAATAGGTCCTCGAACTTTCAAAAAAAAGTCAATTAAGTCTTTCTATAGGAGACTCTGTCCGGTCGTCGCGATTTGGGGCGGTTCCCGGTGGAATTTTTTGATGAATTTTTGTGAGCATCTTATTCATCATCAAGTGTAGTTTAGTCATACCAAATTTCAGCTAAAAATTTAATCGGGGGCACATTCAAATTAATTCAAGAATACAAAAATGCGCAGTTATCTTCATGAATTAATTTGAATGTTTTCCCGATTGAAGTTTTAGCTGAAATTTGGTATGAGTAAACTAGACTTGGTGAAGAAGATGCTCAAAAAATTTCATCAAAACATTCCACCGGGAACTGCCCCAAATCGTGACGGCCAGACAGAACCTCCCATAGAAGGACTTAATTGACCTTTTTATGAAAGTTCGAGGACCTATTTGAAAGTTTTCCCTTTATTTATTTATTTATTTTTTTGTTTTTTTTTGGTTTGGTTTGGGTTTAAATGGGCTGGGCTGGGTGTTTCCGATGGGTTTGGGGGATGGGGGGGGGGGGGGCTAGGGGATGAAATAATCAAGAAAACAATAAAAAAAAACCGGACCCAGCCCGGCCCGGAACCGGTAGACAACCGGGCTAGTCCCGGGCCTAAACCATTGCCATCCAAACCCGGCCGGGCCTAGGCCCGACCCGGACCCGACCCAGACCCAGGTCCATCCCTAACCACACATTAGTTTTGAATGTAAACAACAATACAATATAATAAGAAACCGGAAAACAGAATGAAACATAATTTACTTCCTCCGTTCTTTTTTAGTTGCAACGGTCAACATTTCACACTTGTCAACGCACGTCTTTGACCGTAATTATATCTCAATCTCTATTAGTAAAAAATAATTAAAAATCAGATTTTGAAAATTTGTAATGAGATGAATTGAACAATATTTTTTAAAAGAATAATTTTCGTAAAATAATACCTTAAAATGTAGTCAAAGTAGAACATGTGAATAGTGTAGAATTCAACATGTTGGGATTAAAAAAACGGAGGATAGTATACTTAAGAGACTTGCTGTCAATGGCCACCCATTCAATGTCAATTTGTTACCCCCTTGATTAAAAACGGAGCATAGTAGATATGTTAGAATAATGCTCACAGATCAAACATTCAATAAAACTATAGCCATTAAGTGTCATTTACACTTCTCATAACTAGGCCTGGACTCGGGCCGGGCGGCCCGACCCGGAACCGGCCCGGCCCGGCCACTGTAGCAACCGGCCCGGCCCGGTGGCCCGGTTCACCGGCGGTTCGGGTCGAACCGGCCCGGTGGTTCCCGGTTCCGGGCCCGGGCCTTCCATATGGTGAACCGGCCCAGCCGGTTCGGGCCCGGTCCGGGCCGGAAATAGTTTTTTTTTATTTTTTTTTGAAAATTTTTTATGTTTTGGGTTAGATTAGGTATTTTGGTCCATTTGAGGTGGTTTGGGGTGGTTTGGGGTTGAGAAAGAGGGGTAGGGGATTAAATAAAGAAGCCAAAAAACAAAAAAAAAAAAAATAGGGCGGGTGGCCCGGCCCGGAACCGGCCCGGTCTGGCCCGGAACCGGCCCGGAACCGGCCACCCCCGGTTCGGGCTCGGGCCTCAATATTCTGAACCGAGGCCCGGCCGGGCCCAGGCCCGAGGCCCGGCCGGGCCCAGGTCCGAGGCCCGAACCGGCCCGGTTCAGTCCACCCCTACTCATAACTCATAAGAACACATCTAAAAGACAGGTTCGACATTTCATGGTGATTATACTAGTTACAAGTTTTTATTAAATGATAAATGGAAAAAAGAACTGAACATTTCTAAGTACCGGGACTACCGGTGTTCCAATCAGTGATCCTTTAGGTGAAGCAGTTCGAGGGTTCAAGATAGTATTCATTTCTGTCTTCATGTACTGGCCATACAAACACAATTTAGAAAGTACAAGCTATGAATTTCCTATATACGGAAAATATTCAGTTCTTACTAGAACGGAAAAGAAAAGGAGAAAACTAAGAAGTGTAGACCCAGGAAGTTGCTGGCTTCGAGCCTGAGCTTGTGGGGATATGCCATTAGCTGCACTGTGCACCAGTTGTCTGAAAGAGGAGCCACCTTGTAAATATTATACATTCAGTTAAAATAAGAATTAAACAAAAGTGTGGAATAAATATAATACGAACAGAATAGTCATGAAAATGTTTATTTAAAAATAGGAACCGACACATTACTAGATGATATAAGTATATAACACAAACCTCAAAAAGATCAATTTCTTGATCACGAGCAAATCCATCCAGTTCGTTCAAATTCGCCAACCTGAGAAATAAACCTACTACAAGTCAAATCATAAAGACATATTCTCTAGAGAAGTAGTCCATTATTGTGAAAGAAAAGTATAAAGATCTAAAGTTCTTGACTCATTGATTTGTAGAATCCCTTAAAAGTCAAATCATTCATCTGTTGTGGATTTGTATCTGATTGCTAATGTGTAAATCAGACTTTATCAAGCACAAACAAATTTTATTTATTAATACTTCCATTATAAACTTTAAGAGTATTAAGATGCCACACTTACCGAGCTTTAAGTGGAGGGATACCAGGTTAAGTCAAAGGCAAAGTCATCAACGACAAGAGCAAAGAACTTCTAGACTTCACACAACAAACTTAAAGATAAAAGGCACCAATTTACGGCAATTTCCATTTCGTAAAAGCATTCCTAGTACATCAGTTGCTAAATAATTTTAGCACCTTAAAAAGGTCAAAAGGTACAGAGTATTTGATTCTAGATTATTGTACATGAAAGGATTAAGGTATTGCCAAGTGTTTGACTAAATACTTTAGCAATACATTAACTTAATACTTTAGCAATAAGTTCATGAACTTGGGAATACCTTAATAAAAAGGTATTGCTCACACTTAATATGATAGGATAATAAAAATGAGTGGCTAATATAGCAATAATCCTTAAGCGGCAATACTCTTGATATACAACCTTAATATGAGTTGAAAAAACGTATAGCTCACAGTCTCACACTTAGCAATACCTTAATCCTTTCATGTAGGTTAGCTCAAATAAGTTCATGAGCCATACACTTATGGATTTATTGGTTCATAAATAAACAGGATTCTGTACAAATTAGGATGGGGGACAGTGGGGCAGAAACTAGCCTCAACACTCTTAGAGATACAAAGAGGTGTAATTGTAGACAAGATAGGATGTGTTGTGGAGATTGAGAAAGAAAACCTATGACGCAATTATGTATAGTTGCTCTGAACTTTGAATAACTTTGGGCTATGTATATCTTAATACTGTATGTAAGAGTTTTCAAACTTAAATTCTTGATATACCAAAGGTGTTGCTTATATATACTACACATATACTTATCTGGGATGTTGAAAAAATATTACATAGAGAGTGATCAAAATGAATTATAAAATTCCACTCCTTTCAATGCATTTTCGTTTTTGTGGATCTTTTTCCTCTAAATTGTCAAACGTTATATCTGGGACTGAAAATTGTACTTAGCATTGTGGAGACAAATTATCAAAAACATATCAAATATGAGAATAGGAGAAAACTCATTGTCGTCAGGAGTTGCACTAGTGCATCAGCGCCATATTGTATGTAATGCAAGGAAATCAAATCAGTCTTCTCAGATAATTTTGTTAGTTTTAATTTCTCAAGTGCTAAACTGGTCTAATTGATAGAAGATATAAGGGGTGTTTGGCAATTGGCTGATGGCCGTAAGCTGATTGTGTTGGCCGATTGATAACAAATTCTGTTGGCAATTTTGATTAGACGATAGTATTAACAGTTTATAAAATGGTGTTTGGTTAAATGACTGTTTATAATTAGCTGATAACTTGTTAAATGAATATTAAGGACATTAATTAATTTTGGGAAAACTGTCAAATTAGTCCTCGAACTTCCATAAAAAGGTCAAATAAGTCCTTATATAGGAGGCTCTGTCCGGCCATCGCGATTTGGGGCAGTTCCCGGTGGAATTTTTTGATGAAATTTTTTGAGCATCTTATTCATCAAGTCTAGTTTACTCATACCAAATTTCAGCTAAAACTTCAATCGGGAACGCATTCAAGAATTGTTGAATAAGATAAAAAAATTTCATCAAAAAATTCCACCGGGAAGCGCCCCAAATCGCGACGGCCGGACAGAGCCTCCTATATAAGGACTTATTTGATCTTTTTATGAAAGTTCGAAGACCTATTTGACAGTTTTCCCATTAATTTTTAGTTAATTTAATTAATATAACATCCTAACCGTTTGTATGAATTAAAAATATAAAATTTACTTTACATAAGCAACAATCTCCATTGTCATTATTATTATTTTTCTTATTACTACTACTACTATTCTTATTATTAAAAAAAAATCATATTATTCTTATTCTTATAATTAATATTATTATTATTAATTATTATTATATTATTATTATTAAACATAAAAAAAGACGTATATAGTACTCCCGTCCCGCTAAGATTGTCTCATTTTACCTTTTCGGAAAGTCCCACGAAGATTGTTTCATACCAAATTTGGTAAAGATTGTGTGACTCTAAACCATTTTTACTTTATTCTTATTTTATCAATTTAATATCAACCACACAAACCCACCTTTCTTAATAATTATGTCACCTTCTTCCGTTCCATTCTTAGTGGGACGGAGGTAGTAGTATTTTATAACAAAACTTCTTGAACATTCTTCAAATGGAATTTCCCTGCCCCCAAGACTAATTGAAGCAAAATTGAAAAAATAGCTGAAAAGAATACTACGTATTTTATTACATACAGGCTTCAAGCTTGCTCTCTTCATTGATGTTCTAATCTTCTGCAGCAAGTCGATTAAGTTAGAGGTTGTTTTGCAAATAAAATGACGCGTGAAACGGATGCAGAGGATGTGGTCACGTGGGTGTTTAAGGGTGTTTAAGGAATATATGAAAGCATATGAAAAAACCATTCGTAAAACGCCAAGATTAGTAGCTTTTAATATTTTGGTTGTTTGGGATAAAAACCAAACACCTAGTTAGCTGATTTATCTGGTCAAAAGGCCAAATATTGGTCAAATCAGGCAAAAAAAGATTGATAAGCTCTTAACCAAACACTCCCATATTACTTAGACAAGGGAAAACTAAGGTCCAAGCCTAATCTCAAATGATATACTTAAACCAACCATAATAAATCATAGAGTAAACTCAAAAAGAACAATAAACTCCATAAATATAAAAAAGAATATCAAAGAGGTTAGTTCAATTTATTTCAAACAACAAATATAAAAAAGAACAATAAACTCAATTTTTTCATTCAATACACAATATGGAGAAAAAACATTGAAAAATTAAGTTAATAACAACTAACCTTGAAAAAAGCAAGAATGAAGTGTAGAGAAGATGAAGTTGGAGGCTCCATAATAATGAGTCGAGCTCGAGCTGTAAATTAGTTTAACGAGCCGAGTTCGAGATCAAATATAGAATCGAATTTCAACGAGCCGAGATCGAGCCAGGCTCGAAAAATGAGCGAGCCGAGTTCGAATTTGTGATACTCGGGCTCGGCTCGAATAACAGCACTAGTTGGAGCCAATGAAGGGGCGAGGTTCTGCTGGTCGGCGGCGAGGAGCCGCTGGCCGTCAGCGAGGAATTGCAGCGGCGAGGAACCGCTGGCCGTCAGCGAGAATCTGCAGCGGCGAGGAGCTGGTCGTCGGCGTCTGCAGCAGCGTCAGCGACGAGCTGGACTTTCGCGACGAGGTGGCTGTCTGCGATGTTCGGCCCCAAGGTCTGAGAGGGGGCTACGATTTGGGGGGGTTGCTCTAATCGATTGAAGGGTAGGATAACGTTTGAAATATTATTGACTATTCACTGCGGTTCCTCTACGAACGCAGCAAAAAAGTATCAACTTTTCAACTTTTTGTTGCGGTCGTAGAGGAACCGCTGCAAATACCTATTGATTTTGTTTATTTGCTGCGCTTTAGCTTCATGTTAGCCGACCCCAATATCTTTTGGGACTAAGGCTTGGATGTTATTATTGCTACGCTTTAGCTAAGAACCGCGGCAATTAGGTAGCAGCACATAAGGAAAATTTTAGTAGTGATATATCAAATCTTCTGTCTACAAATGCCCTAAGATGGCACACAACATCAAATTCATGAAATCATATGTTCAACGGAGGATCACATACGTGTGATTCTAGGCCTTTATCAAGCCCTTTATCAAAAAATGAGGTAAAAAAAAGTCTCTTTAAGAGGCAGAGGTTTCCCCCTCTCATCTCCTCGTGACTCCATGACATCTAAAAAATTACATTTGTTTATAGATTGGCAGAGGACTGTTTTGCCGATTTGGCCATGCAAAAAGTAACCTTCTTCTCGTCAACTCCCAAAATCAGTTTTCCCTCCCCAACATCTATGAGGGCCCAAGCAGTTGGCAGAAAAGGTCTTCCAAAAATTAAGGGCACCTCAAGATCTTGGGGCATATCCAAGACAACAAAATCAACATAAATCACAAACTTGTCCACTTTAACCAACATCTAGAGTCGTAGGGAGGAGTTCTTTCATAAACTTAGCATATTTTGGCATTTGATCTAGTGCATCCATGAATGATAAGTTAATCTGAACTTGTTTAAAGAGGTTCAGAAACTTATTAAACTCCAAACTGACACTCTTTCTCTTCAAGCGTGCCGGAAAGGGGAGTTATAAGCTTTGTCCGGTACGAGCTGTTTTGGGGCTGTCTCCACCTCTTTCTTCTACTCATCTTCCTTCTTCTCCTCTGGGACAACTTCATTAGGTTCAACTTCCGCGGCCTTCTTCTCCGTGGCAGCAGATTCAAGATCCCTTCCACTCCTTAGTGAGATAGCGTGAACTTGCTCTCTTGGATTTTGTTCAACCAAATGAAAGAAAGAAGTCTGGTTGATTTTTCTAAATAGATGATTTTAGACTATTTGCTATTATGTGCGCTTCATGAATTATTTGATGACTTAGTTTGATTGTTGTATTAAGTTATGTTTATTATCGAGCATAGTCAAGATTATGTCGGTACTTTTTTTTTGCTTTAACGATGTTTTAATCAAACATCGTCATAAAAAGAACAAGTATTTAAAGTAAAAGATTAGGTGATATGTACTCTGGAACAAGTTGCCACAGTTATCGATCAGTTTCAGAGGGTCCGATATGTTTAGTGGGTGGCTCCCCTGAGCTGTCGAATTGTCGCATTTGAGTACATATCATGGGCCGACAGTTAAAATTAGCCACAAAAGGTTTTATACAAAGTTTATTGAGATCTCTTTCAGAAAGCTTTTATCGAAAGTGTTTTGAGATCTCTTCCAGAAAGTTTATGAGATCTCTTTCAGAAAGTTTATGAGATCTCTTTCAGAAAGTTTTACATGAATATTTTAAAAAAAAAGTATTTTGAGATCTCTTCAGAAGTTATTTAGAATTGTTTTAACAAGTAATTTTGAGATCTCTCTAGCAGTTTTGAGAAACTATTTAAAAAAAGTGTTTTTTTAGATTTTTTTCAGAAGCTATTGGTAAGTTATTTGTTAAGTGCATGCTTATAGCCTAAATTTATTTATTCATAAATTGACATAGATTTCTAGATATATTTGTGGATCCATTGTGAGTTACTAAGCTTATGAATTTTCTTTTTTCGCATGTACAGATACTAAGGGTAAGTCCAACGCCTAGGAAGATGATGAGGGAGTGGAACGCGTGCCGATGAGTTAACGGCAATGACCTTGGCGGCTTCTAGCTAGTTATTATTATTTTATTTAAATACTTCAATTGTTATAATAAAGTGATTATTATTACTTTATTTTATTTGAGGATTTGAAGTTTGAATAAATTCCTGAATCCAGGTGATTATCACTTTTGCTGGTAACCAGTTTTTATTAAGTTTTTATTTGGAGCTATATTAGTTACTTAGAGATTTTATCAGAGTTATTTTCTTAAACAAACGGTCGCTATATTGCAGTTTATTAACGTTACACTAGCATAATACTTTTATTTAAAAATAATAAACTGCAATATACGACTGTTTTTTTAAAAAATAAACCTGATAAAATCTCAAAGTAACTAAAATAGCTCCAAATAAAAACTTAATAAAATCTAGTTATCACCAGCAAAAGTGATAATCACCTGGATCTAGAAATTTATTCAAATTTCAAATCCTCAAATAAAATAAAGTAATAATAATCACTTTATTATACCAACTGAAATACTTAAAGAAAACAATAACTAGCTAGAAGCCGCCAAGGTCGTTCCCGTTAATAGGGCTGAGCGCAGATCTGGGAATTCCAGTTCCGTACCGAAGAACCGTCCTGTACCGTTCCAGAACTGAAAGAACTGGAAAAATGTAATACCGTACCGAGCTTTTTTAATAATATGGTACGGTACCAGTTCTTAGTGAGAACCGTCCCGGAACCGTATTGAACCATACTGTCTCGTACCGTCCCGAATTGTCCCGAAAACTAGTGTTATACTCCCTCCGGTTTTTAATAAACTTCACACTTTCCTTTTTGGGACAGTCTAAAATAAACTTCACACTTCCTTATTTCCTTTTTGGCAAAGAAATCTACATCAAAACAGTGTCAAACAGTGTCTCAACAGTGCCAAACAGTGTCAAACAGTGCCTCAACAGTGTACTCTACAGTAAAGTCAAATTTCTTTCCTTATTTTGTGTGAAGTCAAAGTGTGAAGATTAAATAAAACCAGAGGTAGTAGTATAATACTCCGTAATTTATTATATATAATATATTACCGAGTATAAATGTTAGTGACCGTATGTCCCGAAAACTAGTGTTATAATATAATAATATATTAGATATAATATATTACCGAGTAATCTTGCATATTCTTTGGGCGTAATCCAATTATTAAGACTTGACATCATTAAAAGTTAGCTTTAAAACAAAAAATACTAAATGATATAAACAATGTTACGTAAATAGGGTTAATTATATTTCATGGGGGTTAATTATTTAGGAACCAAATAACACCGGAGAACCGTACCGAACCGTACCGAACCGTACTGAAAATTGGTACGGAACGGGACAGGTTCTATATATATGCGGGACGACACCGGTTCTTGATTTTGAAAAGAACCGTACTTCGGGACGGGACATGTTTTTTGAAATAACCATCTTGTACCGTCCCATGCTCACCCCTACCCGTTAACTCATCGGCACGTGTTCCACTCCCTCATCTTCCTAGGCGTTGGACTTACCCTTAGTATACCTGATCTTTCACTTTAAATATTAGTTCCTTTTATGGTGACGATTGATTAAAAACATCAGTAAATATGAAAATAAAAGTACCGACAAAACATTGACTATGCCAGATAATAAACATAACTTAATACAGCAAAAAAAATAACTCATCAAATCATTCACCAAGTTCACATAATAACAAATAATCTAAAATCATCTATTAAAAATCAACCATACTTCTTTCTTTTATTTAATTAAACAAACATATACAGATGAACATACCTGTTAACAGCTGACCACAAAATACCTGATAACATCAGGTAAGCTCTTCTTTAAAATCTTTAATTAAATATTATATATAACATTACGATTAAATCTCATTATACTACTCCGTATAACCAAAGCTAAAATCGATTGTACTGTAAACCAATGAAATCGATTGTACTGTAAACCAAAACTCTGTAATTGAAACGTACTGACTGAAAGATCGATTAAATGTTCTTTATCTATTCTATAATCAAATTTGAAGTCAATTGTAAAAGAATGATCTAGACAACCCCTCCTTGGCCTATACTAAACAATTCATTTTGAATTAATATATATTTATATATCCAAGTTTCGGATGAAGAAGATACGGCAGTACCACAGCCAACCAAAATTAATTGGATTGACCCTTGCTATTATTTTGTTTAAATTTTCGGAGAAGGAAAATAAGGTGGCTGCTCTTTGAATTGAAAATAAACTTGAATTGATACGGTTACACAAAGCAATCCCATAACTTGAATTGATACGGTTCAATTATTTTTGAGTTGATCAGTTTCATATCAGGAAATTTAAACTCATTATATAATAAAAAAGATGTACAGACTGAAACACGGCTAGAGTAAAAGAAATATCAAACTTTACCAGGAGAGAACAAACGGTAAGATCGGGTATTCCGATATCAATTTGGAGCAGTGAGATAAACTTTCAGAGAAGAGAAGATAAACTGTAAACTGCTGCGGGAGAATGAATGCCCATGTGCTCTGAGATTTTCTTAGGGTTGCTGTATGTATATAAGTATATTTACATACGTATACCTCTAGTGGACTTGAGACTTTTAAATAAAATGCTTATTCGGCCAAATTAACTCAATTGGATCATATTATAAATGTCTTTCCGGCCCAACTAATAAAATGAAATTAATCTTTCTAAAAAAATTGATTACACTTTAGAACGTTACTTTTTTCTTTTATGTGTGTGTATTTATACGTAGTATATATTTGTAATCATTGGTTATGATTCACATGGGGTCACATTATATACTATTCTCCGTTCTTTAATTCTTAAAACAGTTTGACTTTCACGTTTGCCGATATAGGCCTAAAACTTACAAGTTTTAGGCCTCTTTCATTTGAAGTGGTTCCGGGTTGAATATTTCTATGAAATTTTGTGAGCATGTTCTCCATGAAGTTTAGGTTATGTCCACCAAATTTCAACTTAAAATTCAATCGGGAAGTCAGTTAACAAAATTTTTGGAAAAAAACGGCATGTTATATGTATAAAAAACTGTCCAATCATTAAAAAAATTATTTAAGTAACTTCCCGGTTACATTTTAATCTGAAATTTAGTAGATATAATATACACGTCATGAAGAACATTTCTCACAAAATTTCATCAAAAAAATCATCTCGGAAGCTCCTCAACTGAAAGAGGCCTAGAAGTATAACTTTTAGGCCTACCTTACATGAACATTTTCCTATATATATATATATATATATATATATATATATATATATATATATATATACACATATATATATAATTACATAAATATGACCAAAATAAAGATGATTTACAAAAATATGACTAGTTACTAGAGTAGTAATGAAATCATAAGAATTCATGTTCAGGTTTTGAACTTAAGTTACCACAACACTACGCTGTAGTAATGAATAGTCATACATATGTAAATAAGTGTTATTTTAGTAATATTCTTGTAAAAACCTCAATACCCCATATATATATATATATATATATATATATATATATATATATATTGGAACTTACCGGTTAACGTTATCTGCCACAAACAAAACATGGTCAAATGATTTATCACATCACATGTTTCACAAAAGAAACTTATTTAACTGACTGGAATAATAACCACTAATATAACTAACTCATAAAAATCGGGGCATTATAACCCCTCTCACCTTATAAAAGTTTAGTATTCGAAACTTAGAAGGAATAACAACGCCTCATGTCATCTTTAGTTTTCCAAGATGTTGCCTCATCGTTGTGCTGTTGTCATAACAGTTTCACTAGAGCTATATCTTCATGTCAGATATGTCTAATCATATAGGTCAAGGGTTTATGCTGGTTTTTGTTCATAAATCAAATTCTTTTTGCATTTCTACTACGGGGGTATCGAAACATGACCCGGATCAGTAAAGTATTTTCCCAACATTGAAACATTGAATAGATTATGAATGCCTAAGCTACCTTCTCGACTCTCTAGTGATCTCATGGTCCGATGAATCTGGGACCAAGCTTTCCTTTCTTTTTAAACCGCAACACACCTTTCACTGAGGCTATCTTAACGGGGGGGAAATCCCTGCTTCGAACTCTAAAGGTCTCTTTTGAACATTTGCATAACTTTCTTTTTTTGTCTGCACTGAGCAATTCTATCCTTTTCCTGATAGTCTTAATCACTCCAGAGCTCTCGTTTTTTAGCTCAGCCCTTCCTTGTAATTCCACTTCTATGACCTTTTTATCTCTTGTTTCATACCATGATATGAGAAATCTATACCCCCATACAACACCTTGTAGGAGCCATGCCGATGGTTGCTCGATAATTATTATTAAAAACAAGCTCTGATCTACCAAATTAAGGTATTCCGCTCATCCTCTTTGGATATTTAGTATGCATACCCACAACATATCCTCTAAGATCTAATCATTTCTGGCCATCGATTTAAGGTTAAAAAAGTGGCACTAAACTTCAACTTCATACTTAACAATTATTGGGCGTTCTCTCAAAAGTCATACGTAAATCTTGAATCTTTACCTGAAATAGTACTCTTTGAGATATCATGTGACGATGTCGTGTATATATAACTTTGCTAACTTCTTCATAGAAATCTTGGCTGAAATTGGAACGAAGTGAGCAGATTTAGTCAAGTTGTCCACCATAACCCATATAACGTCTTAACCTCTCATCGTCTTTATTGAACCCTTAATAAATCCATGCATATCTCATCCCATTTCCACTCAAAAAATCAGAACGCAAGAGCTCTCCACTGGGTCTTTGATGTTCTATATTAACTTATTGACACACCAAACACGATGGCACGAACTTTGCAACATCTTTATTTATCCCTGACCACCGAAAGCTTTTCTTCACATCGTGGTACATCCTGGTTGAACCCGGATGCATCGTGAATGGTGTCTCATGAGTCTCATTCATAATCTGCTTCCTAAGCCTCTGAATGTCTGGAATGCCCAACCTATTCTGAAGTAATTAATATTCTTTCACTTTTGTCCAACGGAATTCATGACATTCTCCCTCCTTGACTCACTCCTTGAACTTAACTCGGGCTCAAGTTCTTGCTTCATGGCCATGTCCTCAAATATTGGTGGAGTCACTACCATAGTCACTAGTCGCTCATCTACGCTCTCGAACTCAAAATTTTCAATTTCCTTCATCATCATCAGATCCATTACCACCGTAGTTATTAATGTTGTTGAAGCTTTCCTACTAAATGCACTTGCTACCTTGTTAGCTTCTCACGGGTGATAAAGGGTCTTATAATTGTAATCCTTGACTAGCTCAAGCCATGTTCTTTGTCTCATGTTGAGGTCTTTTTTGTGTGTGTGGATATACTTCAGACTTTTATGATCAGTAAAGATCTTTCACCGGACTCCATACATGTTATGTCTCCAAATCTTCAACACATGAACCAATGGTGCTAACTCCAAGTCATGAATGGGGTAATTTGATTCACAGTTCTTGAGTTGTCGAGATGTGTACGCAATAACTCATTCATTCTGCAAAATAACTACTCCAAGTCCCATCTTTGATGCATTTGTGTAAATAATAAACCCTTCGCTACCTTCAAGGAGTTTTAAAACAGGTGCAGATGTCAACCTATCTTTCATCTCTTGGAAACTCTTCTCACACCAATCAGTCCACTCAAATTTCTTACCCTTAAGAGTCAAGGTAGTCAATGGAAGGTAGTCCATAGATTATTATTTGTAGAACTTCCTTACAATGATAATTGAAGGTCAAGAAACAAATAAAACCCATCAAGTCTTAATTATTAACACTTAATTATGTTTTAATAGTTTCATGTTAGCTAAATGGTTGATAGGTTGTGCGGCAAAGCTAATGGGCTATTCATGCATGGGCCAGTGAAATGGGATTCTGGCAAGTCGAGAGGTGGTCCAGGCACAAGGATTTTACTATGACCTAACTAAGAAGCTGTTCCGCTCACCTGATCTGAATGTTTCTGATCTGAATTTTTTAAGTTCTGATATGATCTGATATGAATTTTTCTGATCTGATCTGATCTGATCTGAATCTTTCTGATCTGATCTGATCTGATCTGAATCTTTCTGATCTGATCTGAATCTTTCTGATCTGATCTGAATCTTTCTGATCTGATCTGAATGTTGCTGAACTGATCTGAATGTTGCTGATCTGATCTGATCTGATCTGATTTGAATGTTTCTGATCTGATCTGAATGTTTCTGATCTGAATCTTTCTGATCTGATTTGAATATTTCTATAATTGTAATTGTAATTGTAATTACAATTATAATTATTAGATTTATAATTGTAATTAAAAATATAACTTAAATAAAATTACAATTATAATCATAATTATAAAAAAAAAAATTAAAATTAAATTTAAAATTATAATAATTATACCAATTACACTAATTATAAATACAGATACAATTATAAATGTAATTATATTTTTAATTATGATTAATTTTATAATTATTATTATTGTAATTATAATTATAATATTTATTTCTATAGTCATAATTATGTCTATTATTACTAATTTAAATATATAATTACTCCGAAGTAATAATAATTACAACAATAACAACAAGAACAACAATCATATTAATAATAATGATGATTATAATTATAATTACATTGTAAATCATAATTATAATTATAATTATAATTATAAATATATTATATTATATTATATTATATTATATTATATTATATTATATTATATTATATTATATTATATTATATTATATTATATTATATTATATTATATTATATTATATTATATTATATTATATTATATTATATTATATTATATTATATTATATTATATTATATTATATTATATTATATTATATTATATTATATTATATTATATTATATTATATTATATTATATTATTATAATATAATAATAATTTTATATTATTAACATTATTATTATATTATTATTAATAATATTATTATATTAATATATTAATATTATTAACAATAACTATAATATAATAATCATAATTAATATAATAATAAAAGTGATAAATCATGTTTGAATTTTTTGACCTAATCTGATCTGAATGTTTCTGATCTGGTCTGATCTGGTCTGAATCTTTCTGATCTGATCTGAATGTTGCTGATCTGATCTGAATCTTTCTGATCTGATCTGAATGTTTCTGATCTGATCTGATCTGAATCTTTCTGATCTGATCTGATCTGATCTGAATCTTTCTGATCTGATCTGATCTGAATCTTTCTGATCTGATCTGATCTGATCTGAATAAAATAAGATTAAGTAATAAGTAATAAGATTAAGACGAACGGAACAGCTTCTAAGTAGCGAAGACTCAGAAAATGATGAGTGGTCTAGAAATCAAGTTAACTTTGTGGTTGTGATTTGATGACATTCCAATTACATTACATTTTATAACAAGTCATTAGTTGTTTGGAGAGGTAACCATGCCAAGGGTCTTTAGATTTTGTGGTTGTGATTTGAGGGCGTTTAAATCCCACTTCTTTATGGGATGTAGTCTTCTTTAATGTTTAGACGTTTCTTTCAAAAATGTAATATAAGTACTCACTTATGAG